AGGAGACAAGTCCTCATCATTCCTTGAACGACACACATCGTGCTGAGCAGCTTCGCTTCTACCAGGCAAACTACTTGTCCAGGTGAGACGTGTGTGTGGATATCAGAGTGTGTGCAGACAGGAAGCTGACAGCCTCAGACTGTCACAGTGCAGCTCAGCTGCCAGACTAAACAAAATGGCAACGAAACAAAACAGAAGCTCCACCGATTTCCTTTTGCATTTAATAAAGACAGCGGCATCAAAGATGGCAAAAGGTCAGAAGGCACGCTAACTATCCCCACGCTACTGCTAGTCTGAACTTTAAAGGTCAGTTAGGCTAATTAGCTTACCTATGGCTAAACTGTATTTTCCTCAAGGGGAAGCAAAGCGCTGGGCGCCATATGCCAGCTCGTCTGTCTGCCCCGTCATGCTGTTTGCATGCTGTATGCTAAAAAGTGAAAGGCTTCTGCTTTTTTCTGCTATGTTCACAAAAGAGTTTTTACTCTATTTTATTTCCTTCAGTAAAACAAAGGAGCTGCTTCAATGGGCTAATATTTTATTTTCGGTTTACTTTTCCACAGTTTTAGAGATAAATAAAGTTTGTCCTAAACAAAGTTTGTGACTTAGTCTGTGTTTTACTCAAATTAACTGACATCTGTAACCTAAGCTGTAACTGTTAAGCCTTTTGAAAGACAGCAAACTGAAATCTTCCATGCTCGGCTGCAACTTGCACCCAAAGTGCTTTCTAATGGCCAATGATGCCTCCAGACTCTGCTTTATCACAGATAATACTTTATTATTTTCAGCAAATATGCATAGGATTAAAGCTACATAATAATTATGGTCCCAAACTATAGCATTCAGACCCAACGGGTGTACTTGGAAGCAAAATTAGCCCATATTTTCAGTCTCATGGAGGTGGATCTGTTTGTATGAGTTTTAGTTAAAGTCATATGTAAGTTTTTCACACTTTCCCGTTTGTGTGATTTAGTTTCTGTGCCGTAGCAATGCAAAAAGTATGTGAAACAACAAAGTGTGTTTCACTTATCTTCCCATCTTTATGGGAAAGCGTCAGACATGAACACACTGAATAACATCACATGTTTAAACAAGTTAAGGATTGAGAGCTGTAATGTGCAGCAGCACCACGAGTGGTAAATATATGAGCCTGAGTTACTTTTTCACTCGTGCTTGTTACGATCAAATCAAAACATTTACAAAATTTCTGCAACGTCTGTGTCGCGGTTCTGGGTCCTTTGAACCCAGCATTTTGAGTTTCTTGTGTTTTGGTAATATTTTGTAGTATGGTTTATGTTCTGGTTCATTAGTAGTCCTGGTTATGCTGTTTTGAGTTTCTTATATTCCCTGTTTAGCTCCCTGTGTCTTTGCCCTCTGTGTTTAGATCTGTTTGTGAGTCCTTGTGTCTTGTTTCGCTCCTTATGTTTCGTTGCATGTTCCCCTGTCTATCATGTTTATCCATGTTTCCCTCGCTCCCTCTCATCTGCCTTTTCTCCACTCCATTGTCAGTCTTGCGTTCGTTTCCTGTTTTATTGTGAAAGTCTTGCGTTCCATGTGTGTTTAGTTTTGCTTCCTCGTGTCTAATTTGTCTCTGCTGTGTTCCCCATGTGTTTCCTGTTCCCTCATCATCCTATTGTGTATTTAAGGTCATGGTTGTGTGTTATTCTGTTTGCTTCCACATGTGTTTAGTTCTTATCATTTCTCACTGTTGTTTTGTATTGTTTTCCATTTAGTTAATAACGCTGTGTTATATGTTTTCTGCATTTGGGTCCTTTCACAGCCAGTTCACGACAGTTTCTCTCATGCAGACAAAGTTGATAACCACCTTTGTGACGTCCATCATCTCTGACTAGGGTTTTAGGTTTTATCAAGCCAGCTAATGCTAACAAAGTCTGACTATGTTGAACTTCATTGAACGTCTGCAGGAACCTGCAGGATTATCAAAAGCAACCAGCTGAATAACAGCTGTGTGCACGTAGTGTAGTCCTATAAAACCTCTAACTGCGTGTGGCTCCACTGGTGCTCAGATTTGTGAGGGTAGTGGGATTTAAAAAAAAGAAAGAGCTAAACCCGTTCATCTTAAATTTGCCTGTGACTTGTAAGAGATTAGTATCTTAAGCTGCATCTTAAGCCATTTTGTAGTGTTTTTGTGTATTTAGGAACACAGATCAATCTGCTGTGTAGATGTTGTAAGTCTATACTGCATGATGAATGCACACTGTGTTCCACTGATATGAGCTTTAAGGAGACAATTGGTCTTAAAAAGGCATGACAAAAATAGTTTGTGTGCAAATATTTATAGCAAAGATTATGCTGCTTAAGAGAGATTATGTTATTCCATCATGTCCGCAACTTCTCACAATGACCAGGATCTGAGCACACGCAGGGTCAAGCTGTCTTCCCATCACCCCATCTGCCCCACAGTCGTCCCGCACACTAATCCTCGTCCATCAGCACTGTTACCACAATGTGTGAAAAGCAGCTGCGATTACAGGACATCTGC